CACCACAATTCAAAGGCATCAACTCTTCTTTGGTCTTCCGTATTTCACTGTTCAGCTTTCACATGCATATGAGGTGACTGAAAATACCATAGTTTGAGTCACACAAACCTTAGTCTTCAAAGTGACATCTTTGCTTCTGAACACTTTAAAGAGTTTTTAAAGTGCAGATTTGCCCAGTGCAATGCGACGTCTGATTTCTTCACTGTTTTTTCCATGGTTGTTGACTGTGGATCCAAGTAAAATGAAATCCTTGACAACTTCAATCTTTTCTCCGTTTACTGTGATGTTGCTTTTTGGTCCAGTTGTGAGGATTTCCATTTTCCTTATGTTGAGGTGTAATCCATATAGAAGACTGTAGACTTTCATCTTCATCAGTAAGTACTTCAAGTCGTCTTTACTTTCAGCAAGGTTGTGCCATGTGCACATGACAAGTTGTTAATGAGTCTTCCTCCAGTTCTTGTACTACATTCTTCATATAGTCCAGCTTCTCAGCGTACAGTTTGAATAAGTGTGGTGAAAGGACACAACCCTGATGCACACCCTTCCTGATTTTAAACCATGCTGTGTCCCCTCGTTCTATTCAAATGACAGCCTCTTAATCTACGTACAGGTTTCATGAGTTGTATTTCTCCACCACTCGTCTGTCAGTGTGTCATACTGTGGTGGCTTGCATGTTGCTATGAGACTGAAGATGATGCCATCAGTAGTTCAAGGGTCACCCATGGTGGACAGGTTTCAACAGAACTTCCAGGCTAAGACTGGGAAGGACTGGGCCATCCACTTCTGAAAAAATTGGCCAGTGAAAACCTTGTGAATAGCAGTGAAATACTATGTGATATATTACTGGAAAACTTTAAGCAGAAGGATAATGCCTTGGAAACTAAGAGGTAATCATAAGCAAACTATAAGAAGCCACTTTTCCAATGGATATGAAGCCAGACGAAAGAACAGGATCCCAAAGTGTTCCGACTTACACAACTTAAATACGATGCCTAAGTATCAATCAATGTAACCAAAAGCAGTTTTGTGAAGAGTGTTCAATGACAAAGCACTGATGATAAATAATAAATAAATAAACAAACCAATTGCTAGAGAAATTCTTGAAGTCCTCTCAATAAAGGAGAAGAAAACAGTAACAGGTATCATTAAAGGCTAAACCAAAACCAAAAACCCAGTTGCGCTGAGTCGATTCTGATTCATGGCGACGCCATGTGTTGCAGAGTAGACCTCACTCCATAGGGTTTGTAGGGTTTCCAAGGCTGTGACCTTCCAAAAGGAGAGAAGGAGACCAGGCTGTCTTCTAAGACACCTCTTGGGAGGGGTGAGGAATGGTTC